GACAAGCGCTTGAAAGAAACTGGGCTGCCCCTGCCCTTGCTGCCCCTCTCCGCTGGCGGCTGCTCGTCCAGCAGTAGCCTCACCTGGTTGCAACGTGTCGGGGGTGTTGTCTGTTTGTTTGCTTTTGTGTGTGGCTTTGCAAATGTTGGGGTGTCTCAAAACAGGAAATGGACCCCTTGTTGAATAGACTTAAAAGGAAACCAGAAGGAAACCCCCTACTTGCCGGGGGCGGGGGAGGGGGGGGGGGGGGGGCAATTTTGAGAAACGCGCATATGGCAAGGGAACCGTTAGAAGCGTGCAACTGCACCCCTAGAAGCCTACACTCACCCGTCACCCGCCCGGACACCTCTCACTAGGCGCCCCAGCGCCCTCTGCGGAGCCAATGAGGTCCACAAGCGCGTAGAGCGGCCTCGCTGGCAGTGGTTGGTGTGTCAAAACGATTCCTACGGCTGGATCTTTGCATTTTGAGTCAAACGGCCGTTTGACTAGGAAAAGGCGATTCAGGCGCTGGATCTTTGCATTTTCAATCTTGGGGTGTCATCCTCCTCTTGGCGCAAATGGTCAACACCATTTAAGAACCCAGGCAGATCCGCACAATGTTCCCGCTTTGTCAGGGGGGCTGTGCTCGCCAAAAGGAGGTTGCGACGATTATGTGTCCGCCACGAAACCACTCGCCCAGGCCGATTGAGAGCAAACTGTCGCTTGAAAACGTGAACGCGGTTTTATCCACATAATGGGCTGTGCATGGTCAGAACTCCCAACATGAGCACCTCACAATCGCTCTTGGTGAAAAGTTGGCGCGGATCTGATTCTTTCTCCATCTTGATGAACATCGACAGGGAGAGACCAATCAGAGCCGTGCCCCTCCTGCGCCATCTGGGGTTTCCTCTGCATCAACAGGAGCCTCTAACGTGTCGTTCGGCGGATCCTCAGTGTATGGGTGCAAGGTCGTGATCATTTCCTGGTGATGCGAAGGCGATGTTGTGCTTAAAGCCGTGAACCGCCACAACATGTCCACACCAGGCAGAAGCATAGAAATGCTGTGGCTGTTCATGGCTATGGCCGTCTGTTTCAAGCGCGTGAAACCGCTCGAACTTGCCCGCTGTGAGGCTTTGCCTCAGATTTGATCATCCTTGAAACCAGGGATCACCGCACATGTGAGGCTGGTCGCCAGGAGAGAGCTCATGCTTCTTGGATCGTCAAAACTCTGGCAAGCTGTGAAGCAAGTGGGGTGGTGTGTCAATCATTTCAAGAAGTTCTCGGGTACCTTGTACGATCAAGTGAAGCACGTGGCCTCTTTCAAGGATCTCAAGTCAACCGGAATCACAGCCAGGACCACTCGCTCAGATTCATCATGTCGCTTAACTTCACCTTGGTCCAGCCCCGGTTGCATGGAAACCTGTCAAAAGTGGAAAACACCATATCGTACCACCCCACCCAAGGCGCCGAATCGCTTCGTGACGTTCACTCAAAACTGTGGATTACCGAGTCTTCACGAGGGCACAACACCTGCAACGCGTGGAGTGATTTTGAGACCCGCCCAAACCACCCAACCCGCCCAAACCCTCCCAAGCCACCTAAGCCACAACCCTCCCAAGCCATCCAACCCGCCCAAACCCTCCCAAGCCACCTAAACCACAACCCTCCCAAGCCATCCAACCCGCCCAAATCCCATCCCAAACCTCCCAAGCCCGAACCGCCCAAGCCGCCCATCCGGACCCTCCCCAAACCCTTCCGCTGGCCTCTCAGGGATGTTTTCGTGGGCCGTTGCCGCCAGCTCCTTGTTCCTCGGAGACCCGCCCCCAGGAAGCAGTGACCGATTTTTCTGGGGGTGGACTCCAAAAAAAGGCGGTGAAACGAGGGGGCGGGGAAAAATGGAACCCTCACGTCCCTGCAACTTAACATTCTAGGGGTGGATTCCTGTTCCATTCTTTTCAACCATCGTTATTTTCAAAAACCAGCTGTTTCTTCAGGGGGTTGGGTGGTTTCTTAGAAAGAAGGATGCCTGGAAAGAATGGGGAAGCTACCCCTAGCACTTTGGACAAATCCCATGGGTTTCCCTGGGAAATTGTGTATGAAACTCTAAACCAGGAACCATGTATTTCTCACCAAAGCAAAAAGGACACATAGTGATCCTAAGACTTGTTAGAGCGATGTCGTCCCTAAGGAAACCAGGAACCTCCCAACGACAAATGGAAGAAACCTGACCGTGAGTTTGTCCTGGTCCTTGTAGAAAGATGTCCTACGGGCCAAAATCCTTCCTGCTCGTTTCTTTTCGGGAGGTAACGAAAAGAGCCGTCCAGTCTAGCATCCCAACCACACATTGACGTTCACTTCTGACCTCTTTGCGGAAAGAGGGTTCTCCTCCTTTTCCTCCTGAAAAGGGCGTGCAAAGGTCACCTCTGCACCGAATGGGTGTGCTTTTTGGGGGTACCCCTTTGGGATGGCTTGAAATGGAAACCAAAAGGATGCCGTGATTTTTTTTGGGGGGGGTCAAAATCCTATCTTGAGACAACCCCAAATGGCCATGGGTGAACATCGCAATCCCCACTAAAGTAGGTTCTAACATGGGTGGTGCACCTACCCCAAAATGGGATCCCATTGGTTTTGGCCCATAGCCAAATGGTTCCTCGACCATCCCTCCAGGTACGACCGGGGCGAAAAAAATCCGGGCGCGGCGCACGAAGATCTTCATGCGGCCCGCCTGGCCGGTACGCGCGACCGGGACGGTGTTTGGGGCCCCAGTGATTTGTTGGGTTCCGGTGATTTGGTTGGCTTGGCCGGTTGACCTCATCCGGGGGGGGGGGGGGATATTTCTGTTCCAGGTGCCTTTGGGCCTCTGAAGAAAAGTGGGGCTGTGAATCTAGGCTTGTCTGCTTGTCTCCAAATGGGGGGCAGCCCACCCGCAGCTTTGGGCTTCCTCGAAAAACTGCACCCCCGAACCGTACCTGCAAGTCAACTGGCCAACCTGGCGATCTAGGGTTCGGATTCTGCAGCGGTATGTTCGGATGCTTCCAGGTCGAAACAAACTCATGCGCGAAATGGACTTCAGATGTCCTTTCGGTGTCCCTTTCAAACAAGGTGAACAAGAAGAAATAGGTACCTCCAAAAACACACGCGCACATAGACACAAACAAACAAAAAAAGCAAGCAAGCAAGCAAGCAAGCAAGCAAGCAAGCAAGCAAGCAAGCAAACAAGCAAGCAAACAAGCAAGCAAGCGAGCAAGCGAGCGAGCGAGCCAGCGAGCCAGCGAGCCAGCGAGCCAGCGAGCCAGCCAGCCAGCCAGCAAGCAAGCAAGCAAGCAAGCAAGCAAACAAACAAACAAACAAACAAACAAACAAACAAACAAACAAACAAACACACCGCCTATCAGTAACACATGCACACACACACACACACTCTCCACGGCGGGGGGTCGGGGGGGCAGCAGCAACGCAGCGGTGCGGGCCTCCACAAGGACGCCCAGACGGTCGCCCACGCGGAGGTCACGGCCTCGGCAGGGCGTTGCGCTTCCTTGGGTTCAGAAACCAAGCATTTTCGGGGGGCCACTGTTTTTGACAAACCCCCATGCAGTATAGAGAGCTGAGCTGAAAATCTCTGGTGTCTTTTTTGAGAAACCCCCATACTATATATATAGAGAGAGAGAGAGAGACAAAGAGAGAGAGAGAGAGAGAGAGAGAGAGAGAGAGAGAGAGAGAGAGAGAGAGAGAGCTGAGCTGAAAACCCCGGGCCATGGCTGATCTGATGGCCATACATCCTTCTTGCTCTCCTTTCCCTGCTCAAGCGAAAACTTGAATAAAGACCCAAGTGTCATTTCCTGAGGTCCAAGTCACAACTTTAGGCAACACCCCGTCCGCTTCGACCGCGGTCGTCCTCGGATTTTCGGCGCCCCGGCCGTGCCACGCGAGATCCGTCCACCGGTCCTGCGGGGCGTCATAGATCTGGCCGTCGTAGCCCGCTGTCCAGCAGGCCTCCCACGAGCGAGCGAATCGGAAGTGCCTGGAAGACCATTTTCCGTAGGGGACATTTTCCATGTTAACTCCGGATTACCCTGGTTGATTTTGATTGGGGGGTGTCCAATTCCTTTTTGTGGGGATTCAGACCACGTTTAGAGGGAACACCCCCCTGATGATGGGACGGGTTTATTAATCCTGGGTCAACATTAAGTCCGGAAGTATCACCACATTCTATCCCACTCATTTTCCTTCGCTCATCTACAAATGGGTGGTGCTCAAAATTAAACGATCGGAGGGGCAAACCGCAGGTTTTGGTCCATGTTTTCACTTACCAGGGTTCCATTTGGGTACCGGTTTTTTGAGCCACGGCCAAATTACTTTAGGATGTGCAACAAGAATGATAGAGATGAATGGCCAGGAAGAGAAGTGGAGGTCCTCTCGAGATTTCATCTCCGGGATCCTTCTCTTTAGAAGATCCACCAAGGGAGAAATGGGTAGTCTCTACAATCAATGGGTGAATGCCCAAAATGCCGGAACACATGTGCCAATTGTGGCAGCCTCTAACCAAAAAATGAACCACAAGGGCCGTCTAAGCAAATAGAAACGAACCAAGATGGGACACAATGGTGGCCAGAGTCACTCTTCAAAACCATGGTCTTCTGCTTCTCATGGAGAGTGAGGAAGCACCCCTCTGTGCAGCTTCCTTCCTTCCACTGCAGCCCTGGAGGCTTCGCAAACCCAGCATGGCAAAGAAAGTCCGCCATTTTGAGATGTGCACACGTGCTGGGCAGGGCTTTTGGGATGTCCTTTCCGTACAGGATAAAAACAAGCAACCTCGCCAATCAAGCACATTCGGACGACTGATGATATCCTTGGGCCGGAAAGCCGAAAACAGTGTTTGCGTGGCCTCTCACAGTGCACTGGCCATGTTGTGTAAGTGAAGTTTTGGTAAATAACAGCCAAAGGTTTTGCACTGAGATTCAGCTCTGCCAGTGGCTGACTGGAACAAAAACATGTTAACCTTGGACTTGCAGAGGCTGCACGGCCCATGCAGCGGAAGCGCTCCGCCTGAACTCCATCGATGGTGTCCGGCATCTCATCGAGATCTCCCGGAGAGTTGGTAGTGATGCCCACCGTCAGACCTTAGGCTCTGGGGGACCCGTTCGATCCCCCAAAGTCCGGCAGTCAGCCATGCATCCCGCCTTTTTCCCCCTGAAACATCACTCCATGAGAAAGTTGTTCTAAAGGTGGCAAACAACAGGTGATGTTTAAACCGCCTGAAAAGGGAAAAACTTATAGCGGCCGTCCAAGCACCTCCAATTTGTCGCCAGCTCACTTGCCGAGGGATCCAAGCAAAGTTCTGGAACTGTTTGTTGGCCACAATGTTCCAAACCCAAAAAGTAACTCAAGTCCTGGTTGGTTGGTTGGTTGGTTGGTTGGTTGGTTGGTTGGTTGGTTCGTTGGTTGGTTGGCTGGCTGACTGGCTGGTTGGCTGGTTGGTTGGTTGGTTGGTTGCTTAATTGGTTAATTGGTTAATTGGTTTATTGGTTAATTAATTGGTGAATTGGTTAATTGGTTGATTCGCTGATTGGCTAATTGGTGAATTGGTGAATTGGTGAAGTGGTTCATAGGTGGTTGGTTCGCAGTCCCTATGAACAGCTTACGGACAGTTTGCAGTCCCCAGGAACAGGAGCTCGTTGGAAGTGAGCCGCTCCGATCGCTGGGCTCCGGGGCCGTCCATCATGTTCTCCCGGATCTTCGTGAGCTCCACCGCGAAGAAGACCACGCTCCCGGGCTGTACCGCCAACCTCGAGGGTCGGGGGTCCCGACCGTGAAACAAGGGGGCGGCAAAAAATGGAACCCTCACGTTGCAAGAACAAACATGGCACCCTGAGAGAGACTACCCTTGACAAAGATGTTCCTCTAGTGATGGCTTGTTGGGTTCCCTGTGAATCAATCTGAAGGGAGTAGCGGGCTGATCCTCAGTAATGGACGTGCCAAAGCTGCCAATTCCAAGAACTTCATGGGGTGTATCATTGTTCAGCAATGTGCACTGTCTATTCGGCTTGTTGCTGGTCGCATTCGAACATGGAGGGAGTCCTCCAGCAAACAGGATATGCTCTTTGCTTTTGTGGAGAACAACAGCGGCACAGCTATGTTCCAGCCAGCTAGATACTCTTTATGGAATGGTTTCCTGTTCAAGTGGGTGCCGTCGCTTCGAGAGAATCTCATGTTCATTCCGCGCGCACCAAAGGTTTGCCAAGCCAACCATCCAACGCCTGCTCAAAAAGGCGCGAAGTGAGCATTCTAGGGCTTGATTCCAACCATTATTTTCAACCATCGTTCTTTGCAAAAACCAGCTGTTCTCCCAAGAAGGATCCCTGGAGAGGATGGGGAAGCAACCCTTAGAAGCATGCAGGTGACCCCAAATCTGAGCCCCCCTGCGGATGGTTGCCAATGAGGCCCCCGTGCATCTCATGCCTTGGACAGCTAAGCCTCTTGCCCCAAACTTGGGGACCCCGTCTTTGTGTTTAAAGGAAGCCACCCGTTCTTGACTAGCTGCACCTTAACTCGACTGAGTGGTCATGAGGACCATGGGGACCCCGTTTTTGTGTTTGAAGGAAGCCAGAAGGGCGGCAGCCCTCTCGCCCTTCGCGTTTGCTGGCAACTTTGGTTCTGTGTCACGGGTCAGCTGGTCGGTCTTTCCCCAAAAAGCCCAATCGCAAGACCTTGTGGAAGCGAGGGATGCAGCGAGGCGTGGGCAATGCACTGTCCAGCTCACATGGGAGTCTGCAACTTGCCATGGGGGGGTCCGGTGGCTTCCCTTTGGGGCAACCCCATATGCTCAAAACCCAACATCAACAAGTGGGTGTGGGTCAAAATTAAACCACCAGGGGACGGCAGATTTGAGTCCTTGGTTCCATTTGCCAGGCTTCCATTTTTGGGTACCCATTCTTGACCCACAGCCAAGTCAAGCTGTAGCACCACACAATGCCTCAATCACCACTTTCCAAACCACGCGTTCACCCCAAGTATTGGACCCAGACTTCCCTCAAGAGCCGGGACCAAGCGCTCCTTCGGCACCAAGGCACGCATCAAACCCAGCTGGACACCATTGAAAGCGGGTCTCGAATGGGAGTCGACATTACGAGCAACTTCCCGATGTGGAGGCCCGTACTTGTCCAAGGCAAAACCCTTGATGGATCATGTTTTCCGTCTGCCCCGACTGAAACTAACCTAACACTCGTGGGGTTCAGCTGGCCCACCAAAGCACCAGCATTGGCAACTGCAAGGTGTCCGAACCACCCAAGAGGGAAAGACGGCGACTCGTGGTTGGCAAAATTGCGGACCAGTTTGGGGCCCTTTGAAAGGCGGACTGACGTACGCCACTGATCAAAACTCCTTCTAATTAACATGCCTAGGGTTCCTTGATAGAAGCCCTTATGACGTATGAAACAGTGCAGGTCTATTGGCCATTGTCCATATTTTGAAGGGGACCAGCATCCTTGGGTGAGAGAACCACTTGCTTTGAGAGTACTTCTTGGAACCACTGCATGTTGGTTGCTTAACCACGTTGAAGAACCCTCACACATTGGAATGATGTTTAATTATAGGGGCCCCTTAGTGGACATCAGAATTCAGTGCAGATCGATGCCACCTAAAAGACGGGGTTCCCTGTTTAGCTTCAAAGCGTGACATGGCCGGCTCGCCTTTTTCAGGGGAACCCCCCCGCTCCGGCGCCCAAATGGCTTCGGTTGTCCTCTCAGTCTCCCTTTCAAAGCACCAAACAAGTGGTCTCAAGCAAAGACGGCCACGTCTGCTGTGGCTTCCGGGCCCCGTCTGCCCAGTGTAGCTGGCGCTGAGCAGGTCCTGCCCCCCGCCAGTCGGTCGAAGCAAAAGCTTCTGATAGAACTGCCGGTGCCCGGCGGCAAGCAATGCAAAGTAAAGCAATTCAAGGCAAGGCAAAGCAAAGCAAGGCGCCAAGCAAAGCAAAGCAAAGCAGGGCAAGGCAAGGCAAAGCAAGCAATCAAGCAAGCAGACGAATGAGCGTGCAAGGAAAACACCGGAAAAGGTATCAGGCGATCCAGCCCCACCAACCTCAGCACTCGCTGCAAACAGTTCTGACAGAACATCACCTCGCAACCTCCCAAGCTAAACACGTACCGAGCAATGTGTGATTCTAACTGGTCCAAATCTCATGGCAGGTTCCATGTCATCGGCACGGCAAAACGAACCGGGAGTTGGATCCTGAAACGGAGACTTGAATGGCCAAACCATTCGGAGGGGTCCCATGCTCGCACGTGGCCTCAAAGCAGGAATGCTTGCCCCTATCCTTCGCACCTCGGGTGAACTCGGTAGACTTGGCTAAGGGCTTGGTGGTGGGCTGGAGCTTACAAAGCACCGCGCGAACTGGCGGCTTGGTAGGAACCAGCTTGGACCCGCTCAGGGCTTTGTCCGAGGGCGGGTTTGAAGGCGGGTTTGGGCTTGGCTTCGGGGTCGTCTGCAAGCTTCGGCCAGGATTGGGTCTTCAGCACGCCTCGCTCTATGACGGCTCCTCGGAGAGGCGAACACAGTGGCCCTTCTTCTTGCTGCAGAAGCCCGACCTTGGCCCAAGATGGATCTCCCTTTGGCTCGGTGAAAATCGAAGAAGAAAAAAAAACGGGGGGAGGAGGGTTAGCCCATACGGAAACAAACGAAACGGCTAGGGTGGCAACCGTTGGGGTCCCATGACGTGACGTTTGCGCCGGTCACTTACCACAAGCCGAACTTTCCAAGATCCAAGCATTGAACCATCAGTGGGGCCCCCAGAATCAACTGTGTGTGGCCTTTGCCTTTATGGGAAACAAGAACACGTTTGGCTGATTAGTGAAAAACACACGCGCACACACACACACACACACACATTGTCCCAATAACTTAAAAAGAGTCAAAGATCCTGACAAATAGCAGCCAAGTCAAGAAAGCCTGATTGATTTTGATGCAGATTCAGGAGCCATTCTAAAGGTGCAGGTTGTTGAATGATGCTGGGGTCTGCTTTTGGGTCTGCACTCCTCGCTTCCCCAATGATCTTCCATCAGCAGTCAATGGCTCTGAAGCTTGACTGTACTTCATGCGTACATGTTTACTTGCCCAATGGTCACTGGAAACCAGGACACCCGTTTCTTTCCTGTTGGTCGTCTTTCGAAGGGTGTCCTTCACACCAACAGCGTGTGCAGGCCGCAGGCCGCAGGACACCTCATGCTGGTAACGGGCAAGAGGGCGGTGCTTGGGCAAGAGGGCCGTTTGACTTGGCAGGAATGGTGGCACCAATCCCCAGCGTTCAGCCAGAAAGCCGCGAAGTATTCGCAAGCGCGGCATAATTTGCAGGGATTCGAAAACGGGCGCGGGCGGCTACAAGGGGCACGACGGTTGGTACAAAAAAGACGGCACTGGTAAATGATTAGAACCAACCTGCAACCAGTGCCATCTATGTTCAATCAAACTGACCTAAATGTGTCATTCCTCCCGCGGAACTGCCCGGAACCTCGACCGCGGAACGTCGAGGCAGCCGCATCGTCGGCATAGCCTGCGTGGCCGGAGCTGTCACCTGGCGGGAATTGTCCAACGGGCTGCGTTTTGGGTGTCCCTTTTCTTCAAGCCTCCACGAATTTTCCTGGATGGCGCCACAAAGAAGAGGTACAAAAGGCCAAGCGTCCTCCCCAAATCAACAGTGCCATGGTAACCTTGTCAACTCCAAGCTGCGGATGGACAACTCCTGCGCCAGGCAAGCGCTTTGTCCCATGAAATTTCTTCCATTCAAACGTCCGAAGGGACTAGAAATTGAATTCTGACCCATCAGGGCCACGACTCATGGGCAAAAAGCTGGAGAAAGCAAAAAGGGCCAAATTCGCCTCGGCCCCAAGGGGGCCAGGGGCGCTCAGATCTCGTTGCCCAAAGGGAATCTTCGCTTTTCTTTTTCCCCAACCCTCAAAATTTTCTGCGCCCCCCCCCACCTAACCCATGTCTGCTGGCCCTGAGATCCTGTCCGGCGGGCATTGAAATTTTCGAGGTTCCTTGGCAGCTTGGCCGCTGTTGAGAAATCGCCAAAAACTAGCCTTTTGGGTCCGAAGCCCAGCTCAACTACCAACCCACAGAGGCTACACATTCAAGCAGCCACCAGCAACCCGCCACAGACAGCCCCCACCACCACATTCCATGGGCCGCTTTTTGCCGGTCCGAGAAGCATGACCTCCTGCTGGCCAGGCGTCAGACAGCAGAGGTCAGACAGGCCTGGCCTGCTTTTCAGTTTTTTGCGCTTGCCGCGCATTGTGCTGGCTGGGGGCTGTGTGTGACGGGTTGCTGGTTGCTGTGTGAATGGTAGCCTCTGTAGGATGCTGGTTGAGCTGGGCTTGCTGGGCCAACACCCCCCTGACCCATGTCTGCTGGCCCCAAGAGGTTAAATATGTTGTAAATGGACTGACTGGGCCTCAGCCCTCAGCAAGCCCAGCCTACCCTTCAAGCTCCAAAAAGCCTCAGCTTCAGCAGCTCCAGCCCGCGCACGTGCTCTAGGACCGCGCAACTCGACGCCCTATTTTGCGCAGCAGCTCCGGTCTGTGGACACAGACGCTGCGCTGGCTCTTGCCCACGCCTGACGCAACAGCTCTCGTCCGTGGACGCAGAAGCTGTGCTCCACCGCAGATCCGGTCCGTGGACTCAGACACTGCAGCACGTTCCGCCCTGCTAGCGTACCAGCTCCGGTCCGTGGACGCAAACGCTGCCACAACTCTGGCGCGCGGCGCCGGATCCGCAGCTCTGGTCCATGGACTCC